TACAACAATGCATATTTCCACTGAGATCAGTGACCTTTGATGTGTATCACCAGTGATCAGTCAAGTAGAAACAGTCAAAATATTTTATCAGATTTTCTCAATTTTTGCATATTTTCATACAGGACATCTGTTGTTCAAACTCAGGGAAGACTTTATACTGATGAATAAGGTGACCAAGTTTGAACAAAATCCATTGTAAACAGCCGACAAATGCTTGATTTTTAGGATTTTTAGCACAAAAATGGCCGCCATTCGGCCATCTTGAATCAGATTGTGAAACAAATTGGCGTGCATATGTATAATATCATGGATGATGTATATGTGAAGTTTAATTGTGATTGGTCCAGGCATTTCTAAGATACAGGTCTGGACGCACGCACAGACGCACGCACACAGACGTACGCACACAAACACATGCACGCACGAACACACGGAGGTCAAAAATATAAGTCCCCGTTTTCGGACTGCATCCGAACAGGGACTAATAAAGCAGTAAAGGTACTATGAAAAACAAGAGGGCTGCCAGTCGGCCATATTTGTTTGAATCAAGAAAAAAAATAACGTTTACCTACAACCTAAATATGTATGATCATCATATTTACTTTGATTCAAATCGGCCCAGTCATCTCCGAGAAACTGCTGCGGACACATTTAGGTATCAGAAAAAGCAAATTTTACATCCAAAATCGCTGCCGATCCGATCATAAAGTAACTTGACGTGCATATGTAAGCCATTATGTATTGTCTTCATGTAAAGTTTGAATGAAATCTGTCAGTGGGTGTCCGAGATATAGCTCTGGACGTACGTACGGTCGGACGGAACAAACCAAATTAATAGTCCCCATTTTCGAACTTCGTTCATACATGGACTAAAAAAACAAAAACCAAGATGGTTTTGCATTCAAAATTCATTATTACCTTTGTACCAATATCAACAAAATTTGAAAAAGTGAAAGCAAAAATTTAGACAAGATCATTGGAAAATGTTTATGTTTACACTGTTGATATTTGCTTTTGATTGTCTTGAATTTTCAAGCCTAATTCAATGCTACTTACATCTTTAGCAGAGTGATGTATATCGCATTTTCTACAATATCTAGCACTATAGCATGGTCTACCAGTTTCTCGCCGTATATGTTTGCCACCACAGTTATCACATTTCATGGTATTTGCTGCCTGTAAATGAAATGAAACAATAGTCTGATCTGAATCTGATCTACAAAACAAAGTGATGTACATCAAGGTATCAAAGTCCTATGATGTTTAATATTGTTGGGGGTTTCACAATGCAACAAGTCATAGTGACCT